AAAAAAAAAAAAAAAAAAAAAAAAAAAACCTCAGTAGCTCTGGAGAAAGAGTGGCCATTGGAGACAAATTGCTGTGACAGCACACTCTCCAGCTACTTTGAGGTTGAGGCAGGAGTACTGGATGTGGGAGGCAGCTTGAGCTACTCAAGGAGTTCAAGGATACCCTGAACAACTTAGCAAGACTATGTCTCAAAATAAGACAAAAATTTAAAGAGCTGTAGATGGAGCCCACTAGTAGAGCACCTGCCAAGCATGCATACAGCCTTTAACTTCAATCCTTAACATTACAAAATTAATAAGCAGGTAAAGTAAGACAGGTACGGTGGTGTCATACATTTTATCATTCTGGAGGCCAATGCAAAAAGATCACTGAAATTTGAGGCCAGCTTGGGCTACACAGTGAGTTTGGGGGCAGCCTGAGCTATATAATGAGACTTTGTCTTGAAAACAAAACAAAAAAACAAAAAAACAAAAAACAAAACAAAAAAGAAGAACAATCCCACAGGGCTGGAGATATGGCTCAGTGATTAAAAGTGCTTACTATGCTTGGTTCCCAACACTAATATTGGGCAGCTCACAAACACCAGTAACTCCAATTCAAGGGTGATGTGATGCCCTCTTTTGGCCCCTGCAGACACAGACACACACATGAATAAAAACAAAATTTAAAAACTAAGTCAAAGCAAAACAAACAAAAAACAAAACAAACACCAGAAATAAGCTGAGTCCCTTCCCATTCTAGCTGGTCTGGCTGTGTCAAGCATTTACTTCTCCTGTCTCATGTAGCTACAGAAAATAAAGACAAGTATACAGTACTATGATTTTCAACTTCCCTAGCATTTGGCTTTTTAAGACTTCAACTTTACCAACACAGAACTATACATAAACTAACAGGGAGACTTAATTGACAGTTTTTAAAAACACGTAATTTGAGCATAAGTTGCTGGGTAGTGAAGCTAAAGAGCACTAAGTTTCTGAGATTGCTTTCTACAGACCAAGGACAAATTGTTTAATATTTCAGTATTTGGTCATTTACAGTTAAAAATGTAAGTAATACTTATAGAAGATAATCTTTAAGTGATTTACAAACCTCTAAATAAATATCAAGTTCTACAGTTTGGAATTTTATGTAATTTTATACAATCCCTTCTATGAAGAGAGACAGATTTAAAAGTTGTGTGACAAGAACATCCATAACAAGTGTTAACTGGGGGATACTTAAGGATTCATTTGAAGAAAGCTTTGCTTCCTCCTTCCTTGAGTGTTGCTGGAAGCTGCTGTTCCTGTTCTAACCTTGACAATATATTTGATTACCTCCTTGGCCTTGGGAAAGTATTAGTAAGCAAATTTGGCAAAGAGACAACTGCTTGAGGGCCAACAGATGTCACAAGAGTCACATTGTTCATGCCCATCATGGATGTGGGCACAAGTATGGTCAAGGAAACTTGGGTAGTTGAGATGGGACTTTTTGAGGCATTAAATTAGACCAGAAATACTTATTTGAGCCCACTGTGGTGATACATGCCTGTAATCCTAACACTTAGGAGGCTGAGGCAGGAGGGTTGAGAGCTTGAGGCCAGGCTGGACTACTACATAGCAAGATCCTGTCTCAAAATGCAAAACAAAACACAGAAAACT